CTGCCCCTCCCCTGCTCATGCTCTCTCAAAAATAAATAAACATTTTAAAAATATTAAAAAGATTCCATATCCATGGGTTCTGTCATGTTCACAACAAATTGCTGAGGAGAAATTTTGGAAGTAGAATTATTTCCCAGATTCTTGTACCTTTCAATTTAAGGAGGGAAATTACTGATTTATACTTGATGTCCATTACACTGTGAAAAATATATGCTTTAATATTTAATAGAATATTGATTTTAATTCTCAAAACTTTTTGGAAAACATCAGTAGATATTTTCATATTTTCTCCTGATTAAAAAATAACCTTTAAAATGATGGTTTTAAAACTGTCTATATATTGGAAGAAAATCATGTATCACAGATAAAAATCTTACTATTGTTGTTTGTTAACTTTAGTAATTAGTATTGGCATAGGTTCAAGAAAAATACTCCATTGATTCTAGACCACCTTGAGAATCTGATAGAAGTCTTGGATCATTCTTCTAGATAGATGAACTTTTTCTTCATGCCTTCTGTCTGAATTTCAGAGAATTTATGAATTCCCTAAGGCTTCCCTATGGTCCAAGTCTCATCTTTTGATTAAAATTCTTACTGCAGAGAAGAAAATATCTATTACAAATTGCAGTGTATACTGCTTAAAAAATGTTTAGAGAATTCCTTTAGAGTAAGAATTTCAAAATAGCTTGCAAATATTATTTTTCATAATTAAATAGAAGGATGTTTGTATCATTTACTTTCATTTCAACCATGTGTTCATATAATGATCTATATATACCTTCTTTAATTCATTTCGCATTTGCTGTATAGTTGTATAACACTTTAAAACATCATATTCAGTAATTTTCTCTAATAACTTCACACTGAATTATGTCAGTATACAGTGCTCACATACATAATACTGCGCTTTTCACTAGATCCTTATCTCTTCTCAACTCAAAAGTTTATAGCTGCCTGTTAACAGCACATGTATCTTTATCTTTTGTTCTTCATCTTATCACAGAACCCATTAGAACACTAAGCACAAAGTAAGTGTTCATAAAATACGTGGTAATTGACATCGGCAACCAAAAGAGATAGCCAATGATGAATCATTCTCACAGAATATCCAGGCTAAATGCTAGGCTGCAGATACAGAATGTGCATAGCTTTTAAAGAGAATCTTTTAAAGCCATTTGGACCTTTGACAGCATTTTATAGACGCAGATATCTGTGAACTGGTATGAGCATGAACAAAAGAGTCAAGACAATTTAGTCAAAAACACTTCCCCACTCTAATCCTGTTGTGACATTGCTTTATCAGTTTTTCAGTGTTCATGCATACTGTCAGAAAATTTCCATATTTTATTTTTATAAACCAAAGTCTAGGTTTTATAATTAAGTGATAAGTTTATTCAGTAAAAGTAACTGCCCACAAAATATTTAGAAAGAAGATCATATTCCCTAAGAAAGCTAAAAGATCAGATCATTTGCAAAAGGAATTTCTACAGAAGACTTATAAGGCATATTTATACTTACTAGCCTAGGTCACTGTCTTTAATGCTTATGTGATTATGGGGAGATATAATGGGTTTAGAATTTTCCTAGAGGCACTGGGTCAGAATTTTTCTCTTAAGGTAATTGGTGAATGGACATGATAAAGCTGGGGCTTTGACCTAATTAGCACCCTAACATTCCAGAAAACCAGCCAATGAAAGCGCCTTCTGAGGCCCAGTCAAGGCATTTGGTTTATGAGAACACTGTAATAAGTGCCAAGGTTACTTTAATGGCTCAGTTTCACAAACTTTTCTCCTCTGAGGTCTTATTACTGCTGGAATATGAAGCTTCTTTTAAATTGTTACCAAAATTAAGCTTGGTATGAAAAACATTTGGGATTCTCAGTGGAGCTTATCTACTGTCAGAAGCATAGTCAGGTTGAAAAATCAGTAACCATTTAAAGATGATGTTAGAAAAGCCAAGCAGTCAAATGTACAGCACTATTCATGAAGTAGTTATTTTATATAATCGGAAGTATGAAATGATTGTCATAGAATTCTCATCAATTAAAAAATACTTCCTTATTCGAAAACAATTCAAAGTTGAGATGGCTTTGGTAAAAATAATTCTTGTTAAAAGTCCTTGAAAACCCCTGTTTTAAAATAAAGTAATACCTGGTTGAAGCAGAAGCTGTGGGCTCCTAATGTCTGACATTGCTCTTTGAGCTAAAAAGAGATTTGAGAAAATCTGTCCATATATGATTTTTTTTTTGGGGGGGGGAAGCATTCAGTAATGTGTAACATATGAACAAATTATAGGAAAAAATAAGTACTCAGATGTTTGAATGTGTTTCTCTAACTCGTGTTTGTTGTTTATGAGCGATTTCTGTGCTTTTCTGGAAATCCATTGAAGATTTGCAGTAATAAATGGAAATTTCCTATTCACAGCGTGAATATCGTAAAGACTATGAGAAGTCAAAAACCATCTACACTGCACCTCTTGATATGCTCCAAGTCACTCAAGCTAAGAAATCTCAGGAAATTGCCAGTGATGTGGACTATAAGCACATCTTACACAATTACAGCTACCCGCCCGATAGCATCAACGTGGATCTTGCCAAGAAGGCTTATGCACTACAGAGTGATGTGAGTAATCAGTTTTTCTCTATTCCCTCTTTCTAAGGTAGAAACTGAAATAATCTTTAACTGGAATCATGTTTTTGACAATTCTCAGAAGTGTCTGCATTGTCTTCTGTATGTAGCAAGTATGTGATGGGAAGATGACCTTTGTGGTTCTATGAGACCATGCCCTTCAGAGTTAGAGAGACGTGACTCTAGCATGAACCCATCACTATATCCCTTTCTTGTAAAACTAGAATAAAAGAATTGTTTTTGAGAATTTGAATTCATGCGAAATACCTAACTTAGTGTCAGGCCCTGGTGAAGTCTCAGTAAACATTCACTGTTATCATCACCATTGTCACAAAGATCTCCTTCATTATTATCAACAATTTTTTTTATATAGGTAGCTATCTTGTCTACTTTTTGTTTCTTTGAGCTGGACTACTCTATAGACCTCATACATGTAGAGTCACTTGGTATTTGTCTTTTTGTTACTGGCTTAATTCACTTAATGTCATGTCCTCAACATTCATTCATGTTGCAGCATGTGTCAGAATTTCCTTCCTTCTTGAGGCTGAATAATATTCCATTATATGTATATACCAAGTTTTGTTTATCCATTTATCTTCCAGTGGACATTTGGTTTGCTTCCAACTTTTGGCTACTGCGAATAATGGTTCTATGAATGTAGGTGACAAATATTTATTTGAGACCCTGCTCTCAATTCTTTTGAGTATTCATTCAGAAATGGAGTTGCTAGGTCACATGGTAATTCTATTTTTAATTTTTTGAGGAACCACTCTACTATTTTTTACAGCAACTGTACAATTTGAAATTCCCATTACTAACAATCTTACTTTATGCATTATTAGCTTATTTAGCTCTTTAATTTTGCTATGTTTCTTTCTCCTAAGTAGATTGTAAGCCTCTCAAAGGCAGGAAACAAATAGTTTCTTGATTTTTTTAATTCCAATTAAAAAGGCCCACACTAAACAGCAATTTGAATTTTGTATCTAGAATGTGAGTTTTAGGTACCTCCTATAGCCAGACAATAAGAGTGGCCTATTATTTTAATAACATCGCGTAACTGTCCCCAAAATAGGAGTAATTCCAAATGATAATGACCTTCCATAAACAAATTAATGAGTGTGACTATTTTAATGTGCATTGTTAATCAGTGCAGAAACACTCCTAAACTAACCATTACATATGAAGGGCAAAGTGTGCAAACACATATTGCAAATTAACTACTATCAAATCTTATCTAATTAGAAAATGAGCGAAATTATCCATCTTCAATGTGGCCTTCAGCCCTAATTTGACTTAGAGTTCTAGCGAGCAAACATTTCACATTTGATTATCTAAATATAACAATTTTATTTCTTCTTTGAAATACAGCTTGTAGGGTAGCATTTGTCCAGTTTGGAACTTGAGTTCCATAAACTTCCCTTCACTTGGAAATAAGGATCAAATGGAATATATGCCAGCCAGAAGAGCAGTGATAACCTAAGGGCTGTTAAAATCTCTCACGAAGGAAATTTTTTAAATAACCTTAATGTACAGAGGAAGAAGCTTTTCAGAAATCCTAAAAACATCCTTTTGGGTAAAATGTTAATGGTTTTATGAGTAAGGATGATGCTGAGCAAAGAACAGTAACCTTTTTCTTGGTGGTGTAGGTTGAATACAAAGCCGACTACAACAGCTGGATGAAAGGCTGTGGCTGGGTACCTTTTGGGTCCTTGGAAATGGAAAAGGCAAAGAGAGCTTCAGACATCCTGAATGAGGTAAAGCCGTCCTATGTGCTACAGAGAGAGAGTTGGGAACGTGCTATGTTAAAGCCCCCAAAACCACGCAAGCACCTTCTTTACTGCTTCATTCTCTAGTAATTGTTGCTGAGATTAAAAAAAAAAACAACGTACCACATGCATGAATTATCCAGGTAGATAAGCATACCCCTTTATGTCACCAGAATCATTTATGTTAACCATTCATGATAAAAATATTTTTAAACAACTTTATCAAGGTATGATTTGCGTACCATAAAATTCACCTATTTGAAGTGCACACCTTGACAAGTTTTAATAAGTTCGTATAGTTGCACAGTCATCACCATAATTGAATTTTAAAATGCTTGTAGTATACCAAAGTTTCCTTGAAAAATTCCTGCTTCCATCTTCAATGCCAGGCAACCATAGATTTGCCTTCTGTCTCTATAGTTTTGCTTTTCTAGAAATTTCTTTTGTATTAGACTTTTTTTCACTTAGCACCATGTTTTTGCATGGGTCTGCAATATTTTCTGTATTATTGAGTAGTATTCCTTTGTATAGCTATATTGCATTTTGGTTGTCTAACAGTGGAACATTCCCATTGCTGTCAGGCAAATGCATCATCAGGGAGGGTAGCCTACATAAAGAAGGAATGGAGGTGCTGAGTGAGGGTTTTCTTCCCACTCAAGTTTCTGTTCTGTGCTTTTGCTTGCTTTTGGTGAACAACATTTTATCAGGTTTTTTTCAAAAAAGTTCTGGGTTGGTAGTTTTCAGAAGTCTGAAGCTGGGTGGTGCTACTTTGTACACAGAAGTGAGATGTATAATATGCACAATGGAAGACGACCAGGAGACTAGATGGAGAAGAATATAGGAATGTAGCTAGAAGTTGCCAGCTTCCGATGAGAACACCTTCCAACATCGTCTCTCCTATGGCTCCTCAGCACTTTAGTGACAACCTGTGTACTAAGCACACGGGGGCTGCAGAACAAAAGTCCTCCCTCTCCTACAGGAACCACTCACTGTTACCCTAATTCTTCTGTTCCTCCTCCCTCAGCCAGAGAGCTTCTTTACTTTTCTACCTCGGTTGGAGTGACAGGAACTTGAGAACTTGTTAGTGACAGGCAAAGACAATCCAGATTTCCTTGTGTGCTTTTCTGGTAATCCTTTAGAAAACTTTGTGGTGTTTCTGGGTTCTGTTTAGCTTAGAGTACCCTCTTTCATTTCATTTTTCATTTCATAAGCAAGAAACAAAGTCTGGTTCCTGAAAGTTGTATTGGGCTGTACTGCCCCAGACAATCCAAAATTAAGCCAATTTTTAAAACACTGGCTTTTGTATTGTATTCATCTTTTCCCCCAAGCCAACCAAGAATCTGTTTACATTTTAAAATCAGGAAAAATCCTCGTCTCTCCAAAATAAATTTCAAGGATTTTTTATATATTAGCCTTCAGTGAGAGTAAAATTATTTTTTCTTTTTTAAATTCACCAAACAGAAAAAATACCGCCAACATCCAGACACTCTCAAGTTTACCTCGATTGAAGATGCTCCGATTATAGTACAGTCTAAAATCAACCAGGCTCAGAGAAGTGATGTAAGTATTAATCCTATCTCTATTTTAATAAATATTAATTAATACAAGTACATTTGTATTCCTACTATACTGATTACCTGTAGTTATTATGCAGTCTGAAGAGACTCAGTTTTGTGAGCAACTGTAATTCTCCCAGCCTTTCATTAATAAAGCATACCTAATTCATATCTTTAGAGTATTATGTATACTGGGTTCACTGTCCTTTCAGCCATTTAACATTGCCGTCCAAGGAGAAGGTAAGAGGGACTTCTCTTGATGACAAAAAACACTACAAACCTATTTCTAGAAAAGACCAGGAAAATGAATATAGGCAATACATCTTATGGAGGAGTCACATTGTAAGTCAGAGCTAAGACAAACATCATATAAACTACCCCTAAGTCCCATCGGTAACCCACAGATATAATATAGATGGTTTGTGTATCCTACCCAGTTAGCCTCTTCTGTGCTGACCAAAGTGTCTGCAGGTTAACAGTTTTATCAGGTCACCTCCCTGGGCTAACTTCCATGAAGTGCCCCTAACAAAATCCAGAGGTTCCTCGGGCATACCTAAGGACCTTTGCCAGGGCCGAACAGGCACCAAGATAGGGGACCCTGTACATGCATATGAGACTTTGAAGGCCTACAGATCTTTGCGGGTGAATGTGGGGGTGACACAGGGAATGTCTTTCATAAAAAGCAACTCTGTGCGACATGATCACTCTGAAGTTATTTTCCTGTGTCATTTAACCCCTCTTCCCTACTTTGTTTATGCACTTTTTCCCTCTTTCAGGTTGCCTACAAAGCCAAAGGAGAAGAAATGCTTCACAAATACAGTCTGCCAGCAGACCTGCCCCAGTTCATCCAGGCTAAAGTTAATGCCTACAATATCAGTGAGGTGTGCACATGAGCTCAGCTGCTGATTGCATGTGAAGCCCTCTCTAAATGTGGCCTGAGCTGTATTCAGATGACTTTTTTTCTTTCAGAGTATGTACAAAACAGACTTGAAAGATTTGAGCAAGAAGGGATATGACCTGAGATCGGACGCGATTCCCATCAAAGCTGCCAAAGCTGCCAGGCAGGCGGCGAGTGATGTAAGTCGAGCCGGTGGTCACCTGTGTGTAACTAGAAAGTGTGGGCAGGGTGGACTTGTTATCCCCAAGTCACCACGTCTGTTGTCCCTAATTGGAAGCGAGGCCTTCTTAAAACTATTGAGAAGGGGAAATTCCCTAAATAGACTTGAGTTTTCCTGGGGGTTAGGATTTGTAGAATCTTTACTGGCCAGTTCTCATCAAACACCCTAAGTTAAAGGTCTCATCCATATTGCTACACAGATTCACGTTATTTCTCTCGTGGAAATAAGTCACTCACTGTTTAAATCCTTATAGCCTCCTGGTAGTAAGATTTTATCTCAAAACTTGCTTAATTTATATGAATTCCCTCTTTGCCTTACTTCTTTTTACTTCATTGCTTCCAGAGATGGATGAATTGGCCCCAAGTTTCACAGTAATCATTAGGCTCATGAAAGTTAGGAATTTTGTTAGTCTTTGTTTCTTTTCCTCATCTTACTTTCACCCAGCTGTGAACTAGTTACTTTCCTCTTTGAGAGTTAAGTCAAATTGACTCAAGCCCCTATCATTTGACCTAGAGCTGATGGGGTACCCTCCCCCTCAGCTTGCTGCAGATATTCTGAGGTTTATTGTCTTTTCATAACTCCAGCTCCTGGCTTGCACGTGATGATTTTGCTCTGGCTCACCTGGACTCCCCTACTCTAGATTCACTTCTCTTTCTGGTCTGCATGATCCAGAGATGGAACACAGTCCCCTGTTTTGGATTCCCCTTAAGTCCCAAGCACAACCTCACCGATTGTTTGAAATGAAGTTGACATTGCACCAATGTAAATAAGTTACAATTGAATAATAAATATCTGTATCCTAAAAGCCCTGCCATCCAAAATTTCTTACCCACCCCCTTTCTCTGTGGGTACTCCTCCAGCTACTCCCCACCCCGACACATACACACAATCCTTCCTTCACATCTCTGCTTCTCAGTTTCCCATGCTTCTTCCCAGATCTCCCCAAGCAAGTTCACTTCTTCTCACCTTCTTATTCAGAGCTGATTCGTGTTTACATACAACTGGCTCTGGATCTCTCTTTGGATACCCAAAGACTCATTAAAATTCTGCTACTATAATTCTATCTTGTCACTGACGTGAATTATGGTTAACACCCCCATCCCAACCTCTCTTGGGTGGCAGAAGTAGCTATAGACAATCAAATGGGCTCGATATAACATTTTAATTTTACCAGGCTACATTTCAAACTGTATACAAATGAATATCTAATTGTTTGATTATTGAAGTAATTTCTGGGGAGCTCCATTGCTTTAAATCATGGTCTCATTGTTCAGCAAAATCTTCATAACTACATTTTAAAATATGCCCACTTTTGTTTCCAATAGGTTCAGTACAAAAAAGATTATGAAAAAGCCAAAGGGAAAATGGTTGGCTTCCAAAGTCTCCAAGATGATCCTAAACTGGTTCACTATATGAATGTGGCCAAGATGCAGTCAGACCGGGAGTATAAAAAAGACTATGAGAAGACAAAGACGAAATACAACACGCCCCATGATATGTTCAACGTTGTGGCAGCTAAGAAGGCTCAGGACGTTGCCAGCAATGTCAACTACAAGCATTCTCTCCATCATTACACCTACCTGCCTGACGCCATGGACCTGGAGTTGTCTAAAAACATGATGCACATACAGAGCGATGTAAGTGACACTCCACCAGACAGTCCCCCTCTGAGGTCAGAACCTGTGTGAGATCCTACCACTCGGGGCACTTACTCCTCTTCTTTCCCGTTGCTGTAGAACGCCTACAAGGAAGACTACAACACCTGGATGAAAGGCATAGGCTGGATACCTATTGGCAGTCTGGATGTAGAAAAAGTTAAGAAGGCGGGTGATGCCCTGAACGAAAAGAAGTACAGACAACATCCAGACACCCTCAAATTTACGAGCATTGTAGACTCCCCAGTTATGGTCCAGGCAAAACAGAACACAAAACAAATCAGTGATGTAAGTACAATGAAAGAAAGGGGGCAAAGAACAGAGGGAGGCTTTAACAAAATAAACAGCCGCTCAATTTTTTTATTCTTCTGAGCCAATAATTTTCCTTTTACTTAATTTAAAAATTAAAATTAAAATTCTTTTTAGTTTGGGCACTAATATTTTCATTTTCTTCTATCTTGCTATTTACTTTCCTTTTTAAATTTTTTTTTTTCAACGTTTATTTATTTTTGGGACAGAGAGAGACAGCATGAACGGGGGAGGGGCAGAGAGAGAGGGAGACACAGAATCGGAAACAGGCTCCAGGCTCTGAGCCATCAGCCCAGAGCCTGACGCGGGGCTCGAACTCACGGACCGCGAGATCGTGACCTGGCTGAAGTCGGACGCTTAACCGACTGTGCCACCCAGGCGCCCCTTTACTTTCCTTTTTAAAACCTCCTTTTTAGCTTCCTTTGAAATACTGCTATTGGATAAATTTGTCATGATGACCAAGTTCTGTAGTACTACACATGTGTGCCTGTGTGCACATACACACAAAACTTAAGCTTAAGTCCCAGACACTTTGGCAAATATATCATATTCAATTCTATATTAAGTTGCTTATATTTGCTTTTCATATGTAAAATACTAACACAAGGAAGTAACTCACATGGATATATGATTTTGCGTCTCAGAATTCATCATATATAAATATTATAGAGACTTTCAAAACCTTAGGTCTTAGAGATTAGTATATTGTTTGTCTGCCTGTCCATGAACAATGTATATGATCTGGCTAAAGTGAGATCCAAAGGAAAGTTAGATAGAAGAATTAAAGGGATATCAAAAGCATTAATTTATTCATTGAATGAATGTTTTTGAATACCTTCCCTGTGCCAGGTACTGTATTATATGTTGAGGGTATAAAGATGACATAGACAAAGATTAGTGAGATATAGGATATGACAAAGATATAAGATAGGAGTATAAAATGGCATGGACAAAACCAGAGCATTGTCCTACTGAGAGGTGAATGCTACAGGAGAGGTATGTGCCAAATAAATGTAAGGGAAGAGGTAACTGCCTGCCAAGGCTTCCCTGGCAGATAAGGGAAGGGTGCATTCTTGGCAAAAGAAAAAAACAGAATGACCATCAAGAGGTAATGAGTGGAAGGACAATGAAGGGTTTGGGATTGTTATTTCATCATTGAGGGTCTTGTATCCTAATTTATACTCTGGACATTGTGGGGTGGGTAATGGGAGGTATTGAAGATCTTAATCCTTGGAGTTGTATTATCAGACTTGTGTTCTAAAAGATAGCTCTGACAAGTGCTGAGATTGCATTGTTGAGGGGAGAGATTGGAGGTAAGGAGGTGGATTAAAAGCTCTGACAGAAATCTAACAGAAGGCTCATTTGGGCTTCAACTAAAGCAGTAGCAATGGGAAAGGAGATGTGTGGAAGGTAGAACTGATGAGATTCTGTGAATGCTGTGAAAGCTTAGCTATGGTTTCTACAGGCAGTGAGGAAGTAAAGATAGCTCTTGGATTTCTGGAATGAATTATTTAGTATTTGAAGGTTCAAATAGATATCAGCCACTTTAGACTTTATTTATGATAAATGCATACCGGTTTATATGTGATGTTGTACATAGACGTGCCTAGGGATTTATAGGATTAATGACAGTCGAGATTGGTAATCTACTTGTGATTTCAGTTGGGTTTTAGTTTTAGAAATTAAGCAATTTCTTTTCTATTACCAAGAGGAGGATACAAGTTCTATACCATGCACTTAGATGTCTTTCAGACATCTGTAAAAGGATAAAGTACGGTAAATATGAAATGGTAAACCTTTTGAGTACACTGGGTTTATGTATAAGTGCCTTCATATACTGAAGAAATTACTATGTGGTTTTACCGCTGCAATTATAATTGGAAAGTTTTTAGCAGAAGTGAAAGACTCATTCTAACTGCCATTTTCTAAGACCTTAAGAAATTTTAATGCCACTAGCAAACACTGAACATTTCTGGCTTGGGTGAATCCTGTTTATTCATAATAGGGTTTCACATTTGAACTTATTTTCTATTCATCTCAGTCAAAGATTCCTGTTTTCTATTTTTCTCTCTATTTTAATACGCAAAGCTTTGGGATCTTTCTAAAGACAAAATGTTTGAGTTTTTTAAAAATAGGAAAATACCTTTCATGATTTTGAACAATAGGAATCATGGTGGACTGTGCTAAGTGTGCAATTAAAGCCTTTTCCGTTTTTGTGCTATCTTTAATGCATTTTATTTTTGTGATTATGTGTTGCAGATCTTATACAAAGCTAAAGGAGAAGATGTGAAGCATAAATACACTATGAGTCCTGATCTTCCTCAGTTTCTCCAGGCCAAGTGCAACGCTTACAATATAAGTGATGTAAGTAGGGTTTTTGATGGTGTGTGAAATCCAGACATGATGGTAAAATAATAGAATTTTAGAGTAGAATGGGGCCTTGATAATTATTTAGGTCAATTTCCTACACACCCCATATGAAGCCTATCTCCTGATGATGGCTCTCTGCCTCTTGAGTCAGCCTTTTCCAGGGCAAGAAAACTCACAAGGATATACCATTTTCCCTTACGTGGAGCCCAACATCTGTTCCTCTAAAACTTCAACTTATTTTTCCTAGTTTTGCAAATAGAGAAAGTTATTATCCTGCAGAAACATAGGAATAAATGAAATCCTTTTATTACAATAATACTGAAGTTTCTAAAGCTAACCACTTGGTCTTCCCTTGACCTTCCTTTCATAAGACTAGACAACTTCATTTTCTGCAGTTGGTCCTCACATACCATGGTTTCCAGAATCTTTATTCTAGATCCACTCCAGTTTCTCAGTATTCTGCTTCAGTATGTAGCCAAACCAGGTTTGGGTGAGTAATTGGTGCAGAGTCCTATAATTTCATGCTACACAAAGTGTGATATTTTGCTAACGTGACTTCCTAAAACAGAATATGCGATAGGAGATTCCTTTACTGTATAGCTGGAAAAGAATGAAACAATCCCAGCAACTGAGGAATCACTTTAGCTGATTAATACACAGCATGCTGACATCCTTTTTCCTTTTATATCCCAGGTCTGTTATAAACGGGACTGGCATGATTTAATAGCCAAGGGCAACAATGTGCTGGGTGACGCTATTCCCATCACTGCAGCCAAAGCATCCAGAAACATTGCCAGCGATGTGAGTAAAAATTTTAGGTGAAATGTGGGTGATTGCCTTTTTAAACGGTAATCAAATGTGTGCTTGTCTAAATGATAAAACAGTATGTTGAATTAATGACATTCAAATTCTCCACAAAATACTGTTTTGAAAACCTGTCACTTTTTCAACATTCTGTGATTCTTTTCAGTTGACCCCACTTGGTAGAGCTGTCATAAATCTGAAAGCCACTTTCTCCCCGATTCATAGCCCAAATTACCTTTACTGACACATTACCCTGACAGCCCACATTTATTTTCAGTGAGAACACCCTAACTGACACTAACACATTAAATCCAGATGACTGCCTGCATTATAATTGTATTAAGAAGATTGCAAAGATGTTATATAAAATGTAAAGATCTTATAAACCAACTGGTTATAAGACCCATTTTTCTAGAATATAATTTTGGCTTATGTAAATTGATGCCCATTTCATCTGTAATAGGAAAAGTATACACTTACATTTCTTCCCGTCATTGAAACTCAAAAATTTCAACAAGCAAGCATGCCTTGTAGACTTCACTGTCACATACTATTTTGGAGGCTACAATCGCGGTTTAGGAAAAGAGGAGAAAGAAACCACCCATGTGTACAGACCACTTGGGAGCTAGCGGTGTAAGAATTCTACAACATTCCTTGTAGGGATGCCACTGAAAATGTGTTCGTCAAAGATTTGCACACTGTTATGAAATAAATTTCTAGTTTAAGGACAAAGTGAAAGTCTAAAGTACGACATTATCTTTTTTATTTTTTTATTTTTATTTTTATTTTTTTTAGAGCTTGCACAGAGCTTTGTCTAACATGCCTAGAAATGAAATGTCTTGATAATCCGATTGCCTGCTAAACTCTTGTTTATAAATCAGTGCATATGTGACAAGAGCAGGGTATCTGCAGAGTTTAGGTGGATTTGCATTCTCTTACCTAAAAATTGAGGTTTTGACCTGTTATATACAGTACGACTCAACCTACATCCCGTCGCCAGTTCCAGCAGTGAGATACCATGGGCTGCAGAGCTTTTGTAGTTAGGTCTTTACTGATGGGGAAAGCTCACAGCCATTCCTGCCCTTACTGCAGTTCTTTAATTCCTCTGCAGCTGCTTCAGCAGTGAGCTTGGAAAGTAGCTGCTGAGAAATGGGTGGGGAAGGCCCAGCTCCCTGCCCAAGCATCTAAATTGATGCCACCTAGAAAGAAGAGGGTTTTTATTTTATTTGGTCAGCCTGAGACAACAAAATAATGTTTTCCACCCCCACCCCAAGAAAAACTGAGTGTGAACTTGCACATGGAATCCTTTAGAGTTTCTTCTGCATCTGTTGCATACATATCACTTGGCCAATGGGAACAGCAAATGGAAGATTTTCTTAATTTCTAATATTCTGTGATGTATGATAACATTCTATGATGGTGATAATATATTGGCTTGGGAAAATTCACATCCCTAGGAAACCAAGAGGCATTGGCCTTATATTTCAAATGTGTCTTGTTTATACTAAGCATGAAAATTCAATTGGCTTTACGTAAAGTTCTATATGCAAATGCATTTGTAGGATTTATAGCAAAGAGAGAAACAGGGCTTGAATTTATCATGCTACCCACTTGTAACCCAGCAGTATTGGATATAAATGTTTTCAGTCTGAACTTTCTGGAGGCAAATGGGGGTGGGTGGGTATGGTTTGCACTTCTTGTACAATCTTCCAGGAAGTCACAATGTTCTAAGTGCCTTTGTGTATGAATATACTTGCTATACCTATCAATGCCTAGGACTTTGCTAACCAAATTTTGCGTTTGCAGTATAAATACAAGGAAGCTTATGAGAAGTCAAAGGGAAAGCATGTGGGTTTTAGAAGCCTCCAGGATGATCCCAAGCTGGTCCATTATATGAACGTGGCAAAGTTGCAGTCAGATCGTGAATACAAGAAGAACTATGAGAACACCAAAACCAGCTACCATACCCCTGGGGACATGGTTAGCATTACTGCTGCAAAGATGGCCCAGGATGTTGTCACCAACGTCAACTACAAACAGCCGATACATCATTACACATACCTACCCGATGCCATGAGTCTTGAGCATACCAGGAATGTGAATCAAATTCAGAGTGATGTAAGTATGTATAACATAACAGACCCAGAAATGTTGGTGCTTGAGGGACAATCATTTCCTCCCATTTTAGTTGACTTCACAATACAGTGATATTTGAAAAGTGCATTTTTCGGGGCACCTGGATGGCTCAGTCAGCTAAGTGTCCAACTCTTTATTTTGGCTCAGGTCATGATCCATAGTCATGAAATTGAGCCCCAAGTCCAGTTTGGCATGGTGCCTGCTTGGGATTCTCTCTCTCTCTCTGTCTCAAAAGAAAAAATATATATATAATAAACAATCATTATTGAAAGACTAACAAATGCATGGTAGACAAGCTATGTTTTTGCTGGCTTTCTGTGCTCCTATTGAAGTCATTGACATTGTCTTTATTATGGATCAAAGGTAAAACTTATTCCACTAAGTATATAAACCACCTTGATTCTCAACAAGAGGAAATGGTTGCTGCTTAAGTGCTGATATTCTTTATTCTTCTGATCCCAGAAAAGTTTTTTTTCTTTTTTTAACTAAAAATTGCACTCTCATGCATGTTAATCTATGTAATGAGTCATCTAAAATGAACCAGGAAGGCTTTGTGATTGCAGCATGATTCATGGAGAGCTGCATGGGGAGGGTGTTTAATATTCAGGGCATTTCCTTCTGCAGGAACCAGATTTCTGTAAGAATCATCCTCTGTAAGGGAAGATACGGTATTCATTTATAGTTGCTCAATAAAGGTGTCTCTCCCCAGCTGAGATCAGGAATAGCCTAGGTGGGCAGTATGGGTGAAATTCAAAGTGGTGGGGTTTTCAGTGAAATCAAAAAGAAAGCCCAATTTATTGTTGAAAGAGAAATTTTTTTTTTTAGTATTACCCATGGAAATATGTGGCCTAGATTCTCTCTGCACTGTATAATGCACTCTAACAACAGACTGCTTTTTCTTATTACCAAATTCTGGGTAAGAAGCTCAGTGGCAGACATAGTGAAAAGCTTCTTTATAGACATGAGCGTGCTGAAGGTGTTGCTATTCATTTCCTTTGGATAGAATTGAAGGTTTCAGAGACATCTTTTGAGTATTCTGTTGGATATCTCCTCATATGAGATTACTCTTTTACAGAATGTATATAAAGACGAGTATAACAACTTCTTCAAAGGCATTGGATGGATCCCTATTGGTTCTCTAGAGGTTGAGAAGGTCAGGAAAGCAGGTGATGCTTTAAATGAGAGGAAGTATCGACAGCACCCAGATACCATCAAGTTCACAAGTGTGCCTGATTCCATGGGCATGGTTTTGGCTCAGAAGAACACAAAGCAGCTAAGCGATGTAAGTAGTTTCCCTTCAAAAGGGTTTGTCCATGAATAACACCCACTCCACCATCCTTCTTTAATCCAACACTTGAAGGTGCATCTGTGTTAGCATATCAACTGCTTTCAGGGTAGAATAGGAAGGTTTCATTTTTGAAGCAACTTAGAACTTGAACATAAAGAGAACAGGGAAGGGAGAAGGAGGATTTTCCAAAGTTGCTTTATTTTCCAAATATAGAGAATATGTACTATTTATAAGCAGACCCCTATCATTATACACATGAAATGAAATGAAATGATTACTCTTATCATCTGTGATTCCATCTGAATGGTAAACCAAGCTATTTATTGCTCTGAGTTGCAACCGTTCTACCTGGCTACACGGGGAGAAGGAGCAATGTCCTAATCCTCTTGCATAAGAGCTCTGTGTTCTGAAAAGCAATCCCGAGAGAGGCCTCTGGGGAGGAGGTAAGCAGTTTACTTTCAGAGTCAGCTGAGTCTCATTTCTGAGCCCAGGTCTATCTGGACCCTTGCTATCTCTACCCTTGGTAGAGCCTAATCACAATATTTGGTGCTTCATCTCATTTGATAATTTCAAGTTCTGTTAAAATACCTCCACCAGAAAGAGAAGAGTAAGTAAAAAGCAAAGATGTGTATTCTTAGCCCCAGATATTAGAAGGTGGGGAATGCTTTGCTTGGCTCAGATCTGAGGATTATCTGTGGATTTTCTCAGGCCAGTCTCTGCTTTCACATTACCATGGGTATTTTGAGATTAATTCTTTTTTAGTGGCAATAAACGTGTAAATTCTTTTGATTTCTTTTGTACCGAGTGAGAGACTCACTGTGTTTTTCCAGTGAGCTAGGAGAACTGCACACTCACTAATTGTCTTCCCCATCCCAATAAATGCCATCAACATCTACCCAGTTACTCAAGCCAGAAACCTGGATGTTATTACTGATGTCTCCCTGTGTGATCCCTCCATTAATGCATCTGCTGAGCTAGCCTCCTAAATCTCTCCCAGCGTCCTATGGAGCACTTTTCTGTCTTCCAGCTGCCCACAGTCCTAGTTTGGGCTTCCATATCTCTCATGGACACCTGCAAGGTATCTGGACTCCCTGTCTGGGGTCACCCATGACCACCAGAAGAGCTATCTTAAAATATAAATCACATCCCTCTTACACTTTAAACTTCTTAGTAACTGCTCCTTGAACATCTAAACTTGTTACCTTGGCTGAAAAGGCCCTCAGTTCTGTGGCCACGTTCCCCATCCTGTTGAAGTCTGCCAGACTCCCTCAGCACACTCTAGCCCTGTGACACAGGCTGCCTTCAGTACCTTACTCTGGCCGTGCCCTTTCCAGACTTGAGAGCTCTGCTTTGGCCTGGACTCCTCCCCTTTCTTTGTCTGGGCATAAATGTCACCTGCTTAGAGAGCCTTTGTTGACCATCCTTGTTTCTTTCCTAAAGTTATTCTATTTATAACACATCATACACTCTAGCTCTTAAAGTTTACATTTTTATTCTCTGTCTCCTCTACTGCACTATAACCTTCAAGAAGACATGTCTGCCTTTTTCAACAATTTACACGCAGAAACCTATCCCCCTACCTAGCCCATAGTGCTGTCCAGTAAATATTGGTGGAATAAGCAAATGGATAGGTCTGCTAACATCCTGCCATTTGATAGTACAGGTATTTGACTTGCATATGGCAAAACATGAATGATAACCTTCCTTTTTAAAGGAGTGTGTGCTTCTCTCAACAATAGCCAAATTATGGAAAGAGCCTAAAT